GTTAGTTGATATGTACAATTATCAGGAACCTCATAAATTAAATGTTACGTGCTAAGACTGCGCCTAAACCTATACTCGCACATATTGTGGAATTCTAATCGTATTAATACAGTATGTTTCTTTTTTCAATGCAAATGGCAATCGGCGTGACACAAAATAGTCCCTTCTTTTTATGAGGTTTGGATGACCTGCACCGACGCTGTCACGACAGGGATATCTCACAACACAGTGATGCAGCAGACAGTTGAATAATATAGTACATAAAAATTACAAAACAGTCAGACTTGTGAAAGACGATGGCGCAGATATACAACAAAACAAAGAAACTTTAAGAGGATAGATGAACTGGAGAAGGTTAGCATTCTTCATTACCCTAAATACGATACGGTCTCTGGAAAAAGCCTCAAGGACCAAGGTGTGTTGTCTTCATTCCGCTTCATTCTGGTATCTCTCCCTAAATTAAATATTACCTCCAAAAACAAGGTTTGTGAGTTCTTTATAATACATAAACCCGATGAGAGAAATTCAAGTCCTTACTTAATCATGACAAATCTAATGGTCTTAATCTAATATATCATAAAAACTGTGATTGAGTTTATATAGGCCAACATGCGGAACTATACGGGTTAAAATAGAAAATACAAGTATGACATTTTCACATATTATCCAGAGCATTCCGGAATTGAAGCGCCTTTACTAAATGCAAACGTAGCTTTAATACTAAAGGCATCAGTATCCTTGACTGGAAAGAACAGGGTTGGCCAATTCATTAAAGAATCCCTGCATATTTCGCTGAACAAGGAAAGAATGTATAGCAGTTACACCAATTCCACTGACGTTTGTTCTGTTTTTGTACCCGTAATGTAAACATCTGTCCGCTCATCTATCCTCTTAAAGTTTCATCAGTTTTATTGTATACTTACTTATTTACACAAATTTCTTTGCAATTTTTACGTACTTTATTATCCAACCGTTTACTGCATCATTCTGTTGTGAAATATCCTTGATGACGGTTACTCCCCTGGAAGCCGAAACGTCGGCTAAAAGCCATCAACATGCAAAGCCATTCGCACTGAAAAAGTGGAAGGTTTCGATGATATGCACATTCTTTTACAATGATTTTACAAAACTAAATTATGTAACCTGATCTGTGCATATATTAATTATGCACACCCATCGACGACATTGGTGCAACCTAACATAGATCTGCATATCAAGCAACGTTTTTCAAAAATAAACATCCTAGCACGAGCTTTGCAATTCTGCCATGGTGGCATATACCGTAAATTAGAAATTAATTAATAAATAACTCTGTAAAATATACATGCTTAATCCTACACAAATCGATAACGAAATCTGTGATGAGTGATGAAACTATGAGAGAAAAACAGCACCTTTCTGAGGTTCGATGCGAGAGGTCAAATCTGAAGACAGCTGTATGATGTCGGTCAGATTGCCAAGGATCACGTCGACGTCCATGGCGGCGGTAAACTCGGAGCTAAACACCTTGACAACGATGCGCAGGTCCTTTTGGTACGATCGTTCAGTGAGAAGGATTTCGTGGACGATCTTCGACCGGTGCTGCCTCCGCTGCAGTTTGTACTCTGGATCATGGACGCTAAGCCGCTGGATCGAATTCTTCCGCAGCATGTAGTTTCTGTCTGGGGAGACAGACGGTCGAGGAGGTCGGCTTCGGCATTCGGTCTTCACGCTCACCGCGTCGCCGCTGTCCGCGCTTAGTTCCGAAAGGGAACCGGCCAACGACGCAGTGAAAGCAGGAGTTGCTGAGCGATAAACAGTGTCGTTGGAAGGATATATTTCTGGTGTGCTGGTGCTCCGAGATGTTCTGACGCTATGCTCGAAGGAGGAAAAGTTATGCGAGATCTCCTTTTCGATACTGTCCTTCATTCCGGTACCCTTCTGTTGGTCGCGGCACGTGACATTCATCGGCTCCTCGCCAAGCAGTGATTGTCTTGAGACCTTCTCTTCTAAGCGGGTCAGAAACGCCAACGGTATCAAGCCTTGTTGGCCAGAGTTAGAGCTTCTGGCCTTTACCCAATGCGGGTTGACGAAGGACAACACGGACACTACGTCACCTTTGTTCGCAGCCAGGTCTCCGCTGACGATGGCCGGAAAATCGTACAAAACCCTGTAGCAAGCCGATGAAATCTGGTCGGCAGGCGCATGACCATCTTCCACTTGCGGACTATTGCTTAGATACCCAGAATCGTACAGATCGCTGCTGTGTCTCGAGACGCCCACCTTCCGCCTATCCAGTGAAATTATCGGACAGTCTAGCGAAATATCGATGTAGTTCGTCGGCACCAAACCGATTTTACCGTCCAGCAGAGCCAGAGTCCATTCGTCATCTACGTGGCCGATCAACTTTATAGTGTCGCCAGCTGTGAAGTTTAGCTCATTTGCATTCACGCCGACAAAATCGTACTTCGCTTTCGCGTACGGAGCGACATCCTTCTCAATTGCGAACAACGTGAAGTCAGGTTTCAGACCATCGTCGCCCGGCAGCAACTCAACGAAACGAACCGGGAAGGTTCCTGATCGATCGCCGCACCGACCACGGCACCACAATTTGTCTACAAATTCGTCAATGACCACCATTTCGCCTTTGTGTAGTTCCATCTCCTCAGGCAGCCTCGGTAGCAGGTCCTCCTTCACCACGCCAGTAAGTCCCAACGACATTTGACCGTGCTCTTCAGCATCTTCCGTTGAACAGTCTGCAGCTGTTAGCAGTTGCGATGCTGGCAGCGTGATCTCTTTCACGAAGCTTGCAGGAAATATACCCACCTGGTCGTCGAGTCGGCCTTCCCACCAGCTGGAGTCGACCTGCCGCTGACCAACTATGAAAACACCTAGAAGACCATTCAAGTGGGTACTACACATGAGCAATAAAAAACTATATTTTCGTCTATTCTGATTCAGAAGCTAAACCCGAGGAAACTTGTAAAAGAATAGTAAGTCACCCATCAGACATTTATTTAAGAAACATGTTACTCCTATGTCTTCTCTAGAACCCACTGGTTTAATCGCAGTTAATGAAATGGCACCAAATAAAATGAAATGAGAGATATCCCTATTTTGACGAAAATCATACCCTTAGGAAAATTTAGATCACCAATGTGACCGGTGGAGAATTCAGCAACCGAAAGAAAAACTTTCTCCGCAGCATGATGAACTGGCAGATCAGCAGGTTTCACGAATCCTGTGGGAAAAATTCCGCTTCTGCCGTCAATGCTCTCGCCTTTAGACCTATAAGCATGAAATACAGTAACTGGTAGAAAAAATAAACAAATAATTCGAAATTTCTAAAACATTAGAACGCTTTAAAAAAATACAAGGCTGTACAAATGACCAAGTATGATTCACTCACGAAAGCAACCGCGTTTCACGCTAAGTACATTGATCGAAATGTTTCCCCAGCTAAGCTCATCAATCAGTGGTAGTGAAAGCGGGGAAAATACGTAACAGAAATATCTCAGCGTAAAGACCACCCTGAGCTCCAAAAGCGAGAAGTCTCTGCTAAGACGCATTGGCCACTTTTCATGAAAATTCTGTGAAAAACTGTTTAAGCAATTAGGTGATGATTACCTATTTGAACAAACTATAGAATTCAAAACACTGGCAGAGGTCAGCAGTGGCCCATGCAGAAAAATTTGTCTACTCGAAAGATGTAAAATTAAAGGAGGGGAATTTCTGCTCATTCTGATTTGATACGCAACACCGATATCAGTATGCATAAACCTATAGTGAACAGATTCCTTTGTTAATTTTAAAAAACGTAATGAGGGAATCAACACCGAGTTTAACGGCGTGACTTTCACATGTCATGCAGACACCCTGGGACCACAATAAAGTCCACAGAATATTATAACGAACCTGCTAACCTACCTGAATATTTTACTTACCCACTCTTACTTTCTTCCTTCCTTTCGTAATTCCTTAGTTATTTAATTGTTTACTTCCACTCGTACCTACTCAATCATCTTACCCACTTAATACGTACCTAACTTCGTACTTATCTGAAAACGCATTTATCTGCCTTTGCCCTTGGTCATTTTCTAGCTTCGCTAGCTTAGTTACTACCTACTTACTGTTTTAATAGGTTAATCGTTGATTTCCTTAGTTATCCGCTATCAACGTCTATATCTGCTTATTTTTTCGTTTGTCGCCTACCAGATTATTTAGTTGCTTATTCACTGACCCACTTCATTTCATACCTAGTTCTTTAATTACTTGTTCGCTTGTTTACACCGTTGGTAATTTTGTCACCGGTCTTCTTCACTCCTTCCATAATTACATGACCAGCTGACAACTGACGAACTTACGTACTCATCTATTGTACTCTTTTATATATGTACTTGCTTGTTTAACATCTTACTTGTCCATTATCCTGTTTGTCTAGCCTTTCTGCGGGTGAAATAGAAGGTAACGTTGATTACTATAAACCTGACCTACGACTGCATTTTTGAAGCATAAATCAACAAAGGTCGATGACGTGCATAATAAACCGTATATGCGGTGTTACGTCATCGAAAGTATTGCCAAGAAGTCAGAAAAATCTTATATAAGAAAATGACGAAAGCGACTTACCAATTTTCATCGATTCGCTCTTTAACAATGATCACATCGTTCACCTGAAAACTGAGGTCGCCTTCTGTCTGGGAGATGAAATCATAGATGGCAAAGCTTACAAAAGGGAAACACATCCTGAAAACAGTAATGTCATTATTACAGAAATGGAATTAACGAGCGGTAACGGTATGACGTTTACTTTCGAATTTCTAGCCTCAAAAAGTTAATTAATTATATACTCGCTATTGAAAACTCGAAATATCCTTTGTCGGACGACAAACCTGTCAATTTTACCATGTATGTAATATGACAGAAAAGGCAAAACTCCTCCAAGGCTAGACTTAGCGACGAATTGCACTGCTCCGTTGTTCATAATTGTCTGGCACCATTTGCGCATTTCACAGGTGCATAATATTACAGTACTGTAGCATCATTTTGTTCAGTTGTTCATTTTGTTCAGTTCAGTTTATTTGGTTCATTAAAGTCGAATCGCTTTCGCTCCAAAAAGTGTTTCATGAGCCGGTACCCATTTATACTAACACAAACTATCATACCAAATAATGATATAATATGATATGCCATGTCATACCGTGAAAAGTGTTACTGAAACGTGTCAAGGATAAAAACTTCAGTTTGCATTTTTAAATATAAAACTAAAATTATGCAATGTCTGAAAATGAATTATTAAACATTACAAATAATGTAACTACTGCGTTCCGACTGCTAGCTCTGAAGAGGATGAAGGGCGCGGCAAAGTTTACGGTAAAACTCAGTCACCTTCCCCTTATAATACTGACACTAAAATGGTCAACGTCGTACGAATTCAGTTGCTGCATGCGACAACTTCTAGACGTCTTTTTATTTCGCTCGGGCAGCTACGGCAAACTACTAGAATATTCAGAAGACCAGAAGTGACAGAAGAGGCGGATAGCAAACTGCTGCTAAAAGAACATCCACCAAAAGCCTGCATTTTCCAACGATGATTTCTAACAACTGCAGCACCGTTCTGCCGAGAGTAGATGAGCCTAACGCACTTCTTTGCACAAACGCTCTTTAGCGACACTTGCGCTTTTTTCTTACAAGAAACTTGGTTACATCACAGATTTAAAAGACTTTTTTACCGCCTTAATTTTCCACAAAAACTTTTATCACGTAGGGGTGGTATAGCGATATGCGTGAATTTCACATAATGTGCAAACTGTTCTGAAAAATTTCCGAGTGTAACACAAGCCAAGGTTATACATTAAAGCTGACCGATCGACCGGCCTAATGTAGGGTGCATTCCATCGCATCTGCGTATTCGCAAATGTAATACATATTCTTTATATATTATGTGCATCAGTTAAAGTTTTATTTCGAAATTCTGGATTTTTCTTGTTCTAAAAAGAACGGCCATATGAATAACTATGGAGAGGTTAATTACCGATCGGAATAAAGAAGTGCGAACATCTCAAGTGAGATCCTCTATCCGCAAAACGGTCAATGTGGATAATATCCCACAAAGGAGCGCAAGTGTGTGTCGTCGGAAAAAGTAGACAGCAAAGGCATTCCGCGTGAAGAAGGATCAAAGAATGAAAGGTGCCGCTACAAAGGAGACCGGATGTATGCGCTGAAAGGACTCTTGTAAAAGCAGGCTGAACGAAGGTAGACCCAATGTCCAAAAAAACAGTTACCATTCTTGCGACATGGATGGAGATGATCGTGCTGTACTGCATGTGGGCAGTAATTTCTTTCTGTAGATACTGAACAACTTCTCTTTCTTTATCATCTGGCGTCCGCTTGCAATACAATACCTTCAGTTGGTGTGGGACAAGAACGTAAAGCTTTGGGTTTGTGATTGCGTCGGATAGCTCTGAAAAACCCACTGAAGTGGTATGAAAGCTGCGATGTACTATTTTGTCTGATATCACGTATCGTTCAAATTTTCAAATCATTTTACCAATCAGTCGTCCGAAATCTTCCGTTCGAAGGGTCGAAGGCGCAGTGAAAAAACACTCTGCGGATGCCTCATTGAAATTAGCACGGGTGGTGACCTGGATTTTTTTTGTCTTCGTTTCAATAACCTCAGGATACTCAATCTTTTCGTCTGAGACAAAAAGATGGATGGCTTTCTATATTTGAGGAAAATAATTGTTACCCCCAGAGTAGACACTATATTCCCTTTTTCTTCTTTCAGAAAGTAATCGATGGAAGATAATGCAGTTATGGCTAGCACGTGAAGGAGAAGCAAAAGAAATCTGTTATCAACTCCGCTACGAGGTGCTGATATTAGTGCCTTGTAAACCATGTCTCTTTAAAGGAAAATTAATATCAAAGGGTCTGACGAACAGTCGGAAACGCGTCGAAATTCCAACTGTAGCCTCCGCGAGATATCGAAGTCCACCTACT